TATATAGATGAAAAAATGTTTACTAAATGCCTGTATGAGTGCCTGAGACACAGCGTCACATGTTGGAGCAGAAACGCGACCACAATGAGAGGACTTGTGGGATTAATTTGAAGGAGCGTCAAGTTCTTAATATAATCAATGTTACTGAAGTGATCACTCCCATCGCACCAAACTGGGATGCTGAGTGTAGTTACATGTGTACTTGCTGGAGAGAGAAGCGCTACTAAGGGTCAGGTTATGCTGGATCACAACTATCTACAATAATGTCTTGTCAGACCATTAGATATGAAATGTGTTTTTCCAAAGGAGTCCCACGGAAGGCGGCGTCAGCAAATCAGTCATTGTGTTAAATCTGGTTGTTCAAATTAAAAGTGACAGAACTGGTGGTGTCAAGAATGGAAAAAAGTGAACTAGAGAGAAAATCAAATCCTTTTTTGCGCACCTCGGCACAACTGGACAATCACAGTGGGAACTGGTGTGAGTCTTAGATTGCTGGTTTCAGAGAGTTAAAGAAAAAGTCAGATGCTGCCCTTCCATATCTGATCTGTCTCAGCAGTAGTTCTGGCAGAAAACAACCTTGATGATATTTTGGTCAAAACATGGTTACATCAGGGTGGAGACTTTAAACAAAAAGTCTCTCTTAACCCATAAAAACTCATTGCTGGGTATCAAAGTTATACACTTGGCCTTGGAGTCGACTAGAATGTGCCGACCTCTCCATGCTTGCTGCAGCTGAAGCACAACAGTTCACCTCCAACTCAGCTCAAAACACTGTAAAAGTACTCTTTGCTACACAATGGCAAGTTGTGACATTGGAGCAAATCACTCACACATCCATCCCATCCATCCATTATCTATACACCGCTTAGTCCTCACTAGGGTCACGGAGGGGCTGGAGCCTATCCCAGCCGACTTAGGGCGAAGGCAGGGGACACCCTGGACAGGTCGTCAAACCAATTCTGAAAGGAAATAATGATGCAGAAAGCCCCAACAGGAAAGTTGACAGGATCAGTTCCTTAGGTTTGCTACATATGAAACTTTGAAAGTCTGAATCTGTGTTTTTGAGGCAGTTTCCAAGTGGAAATGCTCCGTCATGGTCTAACTGACCTTAGTGGTTGTGGGTCAAGCCTAAATTACCATCCTGAGACGTGGCCAATGCAACAGGTTTTCAGCAGAGTACCAATAACTAACCTCACTATTCATTTGCATTATGGGAAATGTAGGATCAACAGTTTTAAAGCGTGAACCACACTAGAACTTCAAGTCAGGAAGTTTCAGCCTCTGCTGCTACAATTGTGACATTTCTTTTTCAGTCAGTTTCTTGTGAATTCCCAGAGTGTCTGGAACAATGAAGTGCTACACCGCCACTTTAATCCATTTATTGCCATACAAAGTTTCTGATTTTGATGCTGTGGTTTCAATCCTTTCTCTTATCAGCTGTCAAAGCTGCGCTCCGTTTTATCACAATGATCCCCAAATGTTTACCCAAAGCCGATTCAGTTCCATTAACACAAACATGCCAAATACAAATGATAATTGTTTTTGGCAAGGTAACATGGATCATCCACCCATTATCTATACACCGCTTAATCCTCACTAACCTCAGCATGTTTTTGGACTTGTGGGAAGAAGCCAGAGAACCTGGAGAGAACCCACGCTGCACGGGGAGAACATGCAAACTCCACACAGAAAGATCCCGGGGACGCGAACCGGCGACCTTCTTGCTGCGAGGCAACAGTGCCAACCAACTGCGCCATCTTGCAGCTCACATGGATCATTTTACTTTTATTTTTTTCCACTGTTGGCCAATACAAAACCTGTAAATGTTCATATTCAGTGAAAGACATTCACTCTGAAATTGTTCTCTCTCTTCCCAGAGCTCTCGCACACGTAATCCGGCATCCCACCTCAGAACATTCAGACGACATCGGACTGGGTCAGCACTATGAGAACATCCAAACCAGAGTCACACTAAACAGTTTCCGTAAGTAGAAACACATTTATTTACACATTTCCATGCTGCCATGTGCTTTTGATGCTGCAGACTACCGTCACTGTTTCGTTAAATACAAATCTGAAGTTTACAGCCTGGTGCATTTGAATTATCTGTAGATCCTGAAGTGGTGAAAGAAAGAAAAAAATCCATCCATCCAAAATCCTACAAGCTGGTGAAGCAATCACTTAACATAGACACTAATTACCACTGACAACCCAGAGCTCTATCTTAGCCAATACTTACTGTATGTCACGGCCTCACGCGTTACATGTTGTAACCTCATTCATTCATTCATTCATCAGCACCTACTCACACCCACACAGATGTGCACAAACAGAAAAGAGTCCTTATTAATGCTAACCTGCTTACTGCCTTGACAGCCACAGTCAAAGGTCTCTCTGTCTCCCCTCTTTTTCTGCATGATGGATAATTATGGCAAATGGGCTGGACTAAAAAGACACAGACATATTCAAGCAGCTTTTTTTTTTTTTTTTTTGTGCAACAGCCTACTGTTGCTAAATATCTGACTGATAAAAACTGTGGATAAAATTTCGTGATACGGATTAGGTCCAATGTCACAGAGTACACGGTGAAAGAATTGCAGCTCACATCCTGTACAGCAAAAGTTAGAAAAAAAATAATCAATAAAATACTGCAATTAACTGAGCCAGATTGTGACTCAGTGCTTCTGTTGCAGTATAAAAATAATCGCAGAAAGAAGTCAACAGATATAAATAAGTGACAAGAAGTGATGCACTGCTGTTCCTTAATGCAAATACTTCTCATGAGGTTTCATGAAGCAAAAATAAATGTCATATTTAAACAATGTTTAAATGCAATTATGCTGTTATTACCAAAATATTATTAATAATATTCCACACTTTTGAGTCAAGGTTTTTCTCCTTGAAACAAGAGCAAACAATCACTTTGCCTTATATAATTATGGAAAATTATGTTGTTTTACAAACACGTCGTCTGTATAAACAGACATTTTGTAGGGATACATTTTCCATTTTTTGTCATTTTTGTTTAGTTTTAGTGTAACAGGTTTAATTGTAATTTAACTTATTTTCAGTGATTTAAACTGCTTAAAAAATATGGTCAAAAATGTTAACTAATGTTCATTTTGTATGAGTTTATCACAGATTAACATGTTCTTTGAAATGCCAAAAGTTTGCATGCTCTCGTTACAACTCAGTTCTACAAAAGGTTTGCAAATTAGTGAGACCACTTGATGTGATCTGGGACAAGGACGAGAACCTGCTCTCCAACATGTTTGCACTCAGAGCACCGTACATTATCTGCTTGCTGAAATGCGAAATAATCAGCTGCAGTTAATGACACCCACACTGACGTTTTTCTTCATGTGCTGTTTAACTTGTTGCTAAATGTGGCTCTACACAAAGCCGCTGTGCCTTATGTCACGTTATGTTTCCACTTTATCCAATTAATGCAACTTCAAACATCACTAACCTAAGAACTGAGATGTATTCCGCTTTAACAACAACAGATTTTATCTGGGCAGATTGTTTTTTTTTTTACACCCTAAAAATCAAAGGTGGATCATGAGGTGAGGCGTCAGCGCTCATATTACAATAATTAATCATTCTAAAACCAGATCTTTCTCACTTTGCGTCCTGACAGAATAATTATCAGTTCGTTAAAAACAGCCACTTCTGTCCTAACTGTCAGCTGATCTTCAGAAATAGATATCGTGTGCCTTCTGGTGAGCAATTTTTACTCTAGTTTATTACTTATTCTAGAATGACATTTTCTACCATCCATCCATCCATTATCTTAATCCTCACTGGGGTCGCGGGGGGCTAAAGTCAATCCCAGCCGACTCAGGGTGAAGGCAGGGGACACCCTGGACAGGTCACCAGTCTATCACAGAGCTACACTTAGATACAGACAATCAAGCACACTCACATCACACCTACGGACAATTTAGAATCACCAATTAACCTCAGCATGTTTTTGGACTGTGGGAGGAAGCCGGAGAACCCGGAGAGAACCCACGCTGCACGGGGAGAACATGCAAACTCCACGCAGAAAGATTCCGGTGCCCCCACCGGGATGCGAACCGGCAACCTTCTTGCTGCGAGGCAACAGTGCTACCAACTGCGCCACCCTGCAGCCCATGTTCTACCAGTTAATTCAATTAAAAAAGCACAAATAAATGAACTTGATCACTGCAGACTTGAAAATTATGAACTGCCTGTATAGTGGGAGGTTTGAGATTTTGGGGCTCTGCTAAACTGATGTTTGAAACCAGTGTCTGTGTTGGTGAAAGTACACATTAGGAAACCAGTATTTTGAAAAATCTAATTTTTCCTGCCAGTTCCTGGAATAAATGATAAAAATGCAACTGTAAAACAAATACAATCAACTACAGGCATTTATAAGTTATGTTATTTTTAAGTAATAAATAATAAGCAACAATTAAATAGTTTTTTTTTGGTAAAATAGTTTTTACCTGTGTCCTCCTTTGAAGGAGAAAATAACATACACCTCATGATCATTGCATATTTATTTTGAGTCTAAAGAATACTACAGATGGCAGATTGCATTATGGTGTGTATCTTCTCCATAAATTGTACAAAAAAACCCACACAATCCTGCAGCTACATACACAATGTAGTTTACACACATGCAGAAATTTTTTAAAATCTCATACTCATATTTTGCTAAACTCCATAGTGTAGATCCTCCATTGGATGTCTATTGCATCAGCATAGGAGAAGGCATAGGACAGATGACTACTTTTATGATGAAGTTGGATGTTTGCCTTTTGAAAAAAATGGCAGAAGAAGCCATATGATGCAGAAGATTTTTAAAAAATGGAAAAAAAAAGAAGCAGCAGTGTTTTGCCAGCTTGGTGTTCTTTCTCAGGCAGATGTTGCCTAAATGTATTCATTTATTTTTTTTTAATCCAAGATTAATATTTTCTCTTTAATTTAGACCACAGCATACTACCAAATGAAAAGATGTAGTTTTATTTTTGTTTTCTGACCTTGAACATTTGAGATCCAGGCCACAGTTGCTTACGGAGATGTATGAGCGGGATCCTATGTGATTGAGTTGACAACAGGACAGTGATGACTGTTGTTTTCTTGACAGCAATCCTTGGAAGGTTACAAGAGGTGAGGTGATATGTTTTTCCCTCCCACATGGATCTGTCCTGTACAGCTGTGCTTTCTTGTGGCATTCCCCAGCCATAATAGTCACTGTATATTACAGATAGCGGTGCAAAGCAGTGATAGAAATGCTCCAGAGGGAGCCCCTGTTCCTCATCTGTTGCCTGTCAAAGATAACAAAAATCTGTTAGACTGGGCTGTGAGCTCTCGTTCTCCTCAAGACGCCAGTAATACAGATTTGTTGAGCTGGGTTTTTTTTTGGCTACCAGTGCTATCGCGCTCATGTCCTGCTGGACATCTGTGCACATGGGGCAATTGTGAAGTGTGGCCTGTTTTTACTCCAGGCAGTCAGCCAGAGAGAACAAAGTCTCCACTCACTGCCAGCTCTCCACTGGTGGATGACAGTCCGTTTCCTCACTTCCAGATAGAAATGTATTTCAGCTGCATTACCTCTGACAGCAGCTAAGAAACACCTACTAAATGTAGAGTCTACTTACGGTTCCATTTCCAGCTGCCACATACTGTAATCTCAATATAACACTGAAACCTCAAACCTTTATGGCTACACGGGGAGCATAGAATGTCTGAATGGTGACCGAGAGGTGGCTCCGCTCTCAATAGATTCATACAACACAGATACAGTGTGACCATTTGGCAATGAGAAGCCCAGAAACTTGTTTTTGTATGTTTTTTTTTAAAATTACACCTGCTGTGCAAACATTCGTGTTGCCAGCAGCAATTTGTCCCTCCACTGTAATGATGGACCAGGTAAAACCAATTAAATGTGTCATTACTGCCTTCTGGCAGACAGATGTGACTTTAAAAATGTGAAGTAAAGATAAACAATTACTTGGAAGGTGCTGGGGGTTGAATTGCACGTTCCATGTTTATCTGCATTTTGAATAATGCTTTCCTCTAAAATCAAACTAAAAGTCGTCTCACCCTGAATTTATTTCTACGGCGTATGCCATCATGATGCATGATCCATAGCTAACAAGATGAGACAGTCATTTAGAAAAGGTTCTTCTAAAGCAACACAGGCTATTATATTTTACAGAAATTGTGTGTCTACTGTAGAGAAACTAGTTTACTCAAAAACAAAAACGAATGCATTATGATTAAAACTATTTTTTTTCTCTCCAATTACAGAATATTAGTCAAGTTGAAGTAATTAGAGAGAGACACATGATGACATACTGTGTGTTTGCTCGGCAGTTGTATGCAATACTTTAGACATGGTATTCAAATACAAGTTTTTTTCCCATTGATTCACAAAAGGCACAGCAGTGATGTGCTAAATATATGATACTATGGTTTATACTTAATGTCCTCTGTCACAATTGTTTATTAGGTATGCAAACACTGGAGGTGCTTCCTTAATCAATATACAACAACTTAGCCAATATACAAAATGTACCACGCATGGTTGTATACATGGCTGTATTGTCCATTTCTGTACTCACAGTGCCTATAAAAAAGTATTTAGCCGCCTTGGGAGTTTCTTCTTCAATTTCTTTTCAACACAGAAACAATTTAATCTGGCTTGTTTGACAAGAATTTACACAAAAAAAGCCTATTTCATGCCAAAGTGAAAACCCGTTCCTACAAAGCCATGTCAATTTATTGAAAACACAACATGTAAAATAAGTGATTCACTCTCTTCTAGTCAGTATTTAATAGATGTACGTTTGGCTGCAATTACAACATTGAGCCTGTGTGGATTAGTTTCAATCAGCCTCACACTGCAATTTTACCTCATTCTCCTTTGCAGAAGTGCTTAAGCTCTGTCAGGCTACACAGGGGTCATGAGTGAACAGCCTTTTTCAAGTTAAGCCACAAATCTCAGTTGGA